GTACACATGGGGTTCTCCTGTGATGTTTGGCAACAAAATGCTCAAATTAGTCAATGCCGTTGTATCAAGTTTAATAGCATTGGCACTGAAAATCACTACATTTTATCAGCAAAGAAAATAGTGTGTGTCTTATAATGCAACACTATGTATGTTTATGCAAGAAATATGTCCCATTGTGTTTGATGGACTTTATTCCATCATATTTCAGTTTTCATTGAAAATGCTAAACATATTGTATGCATTAGCTTGTAAAAAAAAGTTTGTGCTTTGCTTCAAGACTCTGTAGAGTCTTAACGGATTGAACAACAAAATCTCTGCTGAAAATCCTACAGATGTTATGTAGATGACGGCATTGTTGTTCTCAATATGATTATGTAAGTCTCTTTGGGAATGTTTTCTGCATTGAAGGGTGGGGTATAATTTAATCAAATAAATGCAACATTTAAGTATACAGAGAAGACATCATACATGTGCAATGGGAACATCTGTTTGTTCAGGGATTAATAAAACTACGGGTGGGGGGGGCAAATAGCAGAGAGTGGGCTACTGATGGGTCTAGACAAATGGTTTCTCAGGATAAGGTGAGTGTGCATGTGTGTCAGAGAAAGAAAGAGTAAGAGAGAAGACAAAAATTAACCATGTAATTCTATCCTGACTATTTAGACATAAGTCCTACTACATTTAGTATCTAGTTGAGTATGCAATGGGCTGCAGCCTTCCAGAATGCAAGCTGGTGTATCCCAACTCTGACCTTACTCTTAGCCTATCTACTATTAGTATTAGACATATGGTGCCTAGAATACAAAACAGTGACAATAACCTCTGTCATATAACCACTGAAATCACTGAACCACTGTATCTTGAAGGGCCAGGTTGGAGACAGATAAACATGGGGAAGGTGTACGTGGTCACTAAGAATTGAAGACTTGATGGCACATAAATAAAATCAAATTAAATCAAGTCAAAAAGAGTGCTGATAGTTCACATGCAAGGCATCCTCAAGAGCTTGCTGCTTTGGTCAGAAGGACAAAACCCCACAAGCTCTACATCTTTTGAATGAGCATGTGACATCATGATGCACATTCAAAGGGGCAAAGCTTGTCTTGCAGTGCCACACTGCAGTGACATTGCTCCCCTTATCTCACCACAGATGCTGTTGCTCATGTAAGATGTTTTGAATTTGAAACCCATAATAGAAATGATAAGCATATGGAAATTAGCAATAACTCTGCAGAATCATAGTCTAGCCTGCTGTTGCTTTTCCATAATATAGAACAAAAAAAATAATGGCCTAGAAGTGTGTCCCACATTGCCTGAGTATATTGCAAAGCCCATAGTTTGCTTAAACATGGTATGTTAAATGAGTTGGATGGATATAACAAGATACTAAGTGACTCTTGGGTATTCTCACATTCCCACAAAGGACAACTTCATGGGAAAATACAAACACAGCAGCAGTGCTAAATTGGCACAAATGCCACAGTTGCTCACTGCTTCTCTTTCAATTTGCAGTGACACAGTTCAAATGACAAAACTTCCATTTTGTTACCTGCCATGCTGGAAGTCTCTTGGGCTTTCAGGGGAGGGGGCATCTTCCTACTGCAGATGTTGGCTCATCCTGCTGACTTCTGCCTGAACCTGGGGCTCTCCAGTAGATTTTATAGGCAACTTTATCAACTAATTTTATTTTAATTATTCTTGTTAGTTTCTAACCAGGTTCACCATTTCTGTAAAACAAGCAAACCCTGACATCTACCCCAGGGGGTCATGTGAGCATTACACTCTCTCTTTCTGCCACACCTGCACACATCCAAGCTCTCTGCTGCAGCTTACAGCCATGGTTGCAGTATTGGGGAGAACATCTGGCTTGGAAACTATGGTATCATCAGAACTTGGCAATCTATATGGAGGCAAAATGTGGCAATCTATATGGAGGCAAAATGGCATCCTGATGGCCAGGAAGCTCTACTTTCTACCACCATCTGAACGATGATTTTGTAGTTTTTCTGCTGATTGGCTGGAGGGGGCTGAGATTTGCTCTTGGTGTTCCCCACCTGATTTCAGCACTCCTTTGTCTGTAGGAATGAGGATGATCATATTGTCAGCTTAAATCACCTTGGTGGGATTGGAAAGTGGAAACAATGTGGTATGGAAGTGCCCTTGGCTGTAAAACAAATCACAATGGCACTGCCACATAGCAAATATTTGAGTTTCCTGTAACTTTTCACTAGGATCAGTAACAACAGAAAGTGGACCAGAGGAATAAATGTGGCTGATGTTATAGCCCTAGTATCTATATTCAATCACAGTAACCTTCCCCAACCTGGTGACTTCAAAAGCTGCCCAAATTTCCACCTAACATGGCCATTGTGCATGCTAATTAAGGTTTTAGCTGTTGAAGCTTGGCACATCTAAAAAAACATCAGGCTGAGGAAGGCTGAAGAGCTTGGTTCACATCATTGTGCCAAGTCAATTTGTCTTAACTGTGGTATGCTAAACAAGCCATTGTGAACTTATTTGTGCATCATACAAAGATATGAAACATGGTTTATAAACAACAGTGCTAGGTCATACAATGCACTAAGTTAAAAGCTAAAAAACTATTCTAAAGCTTATCTTGACAGGTGAACCCAGCCATGTCTTCAGAGGGAAGGTGGCCAGACCCACAATTTATGCCTTACTAGGTGCTGAGATGGTCCTGGGGGCCTCAATATCTTCTGCAGGATCTGCTGGGATGAAGAAAAAAACATGATTTATCTTCCATTTCTGAATAGAAAATCCAGCTATTACTTGGATTGGAATAACTCATCCTTAGAGATGTTTGGTTCAAAATGTCAATTTTATAGCCAAAGACTAGTACAAGATCTTTTATCCATTTAATTTCTTGTCTTCTTTCCAACAGGTTTTCCCCCTCTGGCTGACCACCAAATGCTTCTGCTGAATCCCATTCGGAACTAGTATTCCATGATTTAAGCCTGAGCTTTGCCAAGATCAGCTGCATTATTTGTGTAATGTTTGACCTGGCTGTTCAGAAATGCACAACAACCGTGAATAAAGCTACTTAAAATTAAACATGACACGGACATTTTATTTCTCTACTGCTTATGTGTGTGTGAAAGAGAAGTTTCCAGTCAGTCATTTTATTTCGGTCATGACCAGCAAAACAAATCTTTGAAAAAAAGAGTCACATTGAAGAGGTTTCCAGTTTTCCGCATCTCGCTTCATCACCTGGTCTTCCCACAGCAAAAATCCCATAAATTTATTGCAGCGATGCAGCATGTGCAGGAATAACAATGATGGTTTTAATACTCTTTTAAATAGTAATATTCAGAAGGTGCTGTGTTGGGAATTTTCTGCAGTCTTTGCAGAAAATTTTTGCAGTCTTTGCTTGCGCCCAGGGACTGACTAGAAAACAGAGCTATCCGATGGCACTGCAGAATAAACCCAGTGCAAAATCCATTTCTAGCACGTACCAACTTCTTTCACTTCGTTCTGTGTTTTCAGAATCACTCGTGAGGAAGACACACTATTTGTAGGGGTCTGATATATCCTGGAAGTCAGCCCCATTCCTGCTAAAAATTCAGCAATAAGACTAAACAGAAGAGCTTTTTATAGCAACTTAGTTAGGAGCGCATGTTTTCAGATGCTTACCCTACTAGGGAATTCTACCTGATTTGGCTTCAACTGACTCTATCCAGAGCAACAGCTTAATTATCTCCAGATGTATTACTGTCTTTCAAATCTCTGGATTCCCCCCGTATCAGAGGATCTGACTATGTTTCAACAGATTAAAACAATTTTGGTTTCAGCAGTGGGCATTGTATTTGCAAAAACAAGGAACCAACAATTCTGCCTTTGTTTTTTTTCCTTCCCAGGAAATTTTGGGAAACTCCTCACTCCTGCATCTAAGGTAGTGTTTCTTAATACAGTGCCAGCAACTTTAAGATGTGTGGACTTCAACTCCCAGAATTCCCCATGCCACCTGGGGAATTCTGGGAATTGAAATCCACGCATTTTAAAGTTGCTGAGCTTGAGAAATGCTGATCTAAGGCAATCAAATCTGTATGTCTGTTCTGTCTCCCAACAAGTCTCTCACTTCAAAACCGGCCACATCCATCCCTTCTGGAATTCACTGAGGACATTTTAAAAATTCAAAACTACTGGTGAAACTGACCTAATAAAGGTCACTGTAGTTTTTGGTTCCCACCACCGCCTGCTTTTGTTTTTCAGTGGGCCAGTGAAGCAGATTTTAAAATCCCCAAATGTAAGGAATTTGTAAGATCTTGTGAAGGTGTAAACTGTTGAGATCTAAAAGAAGGCTGAGGTGGAAAGAGGCACACAGACACTCAGATTAATCTCTCATGCTCTAATGGTTGGACTGTCACTAATATTGCCAGGATGGAGAAGTAAAGAAAGTGTGTCAAATTCTCCCTTTGGAAAACACAGTAAGATTGTAAACATAAGCAAAGTGCAAGTCAGATTTTTTTTTTTTTTTGGAAAGGGCCCTCAAACGGTATGAATTGACACAACTGGGGTCAGTAAAAGGTTAACACGTTGTGCAAAGTCAAAATGGTTTCTATTAAACGTGTCTGCAGATTGTGAAAACAAAAGATCCCACAGCCGTGGGATGGCCGTTTAGACTGTCTGGAGAAGAACCACCTTTAGCGTCCCTATATTCTTTACAACATATCAGATACAGCCTCCCCCACCCCCTCGAACTCAAAACAATGCAGTTTCCCCCTTTTCTCATTTTATTTTTCCACAGCTTTGTAAGGCGGGCTGGGTCAACCCACATTTTCTACCCCAACGTTTCCTGAACCCGGCGCTGTCCGACTGACTTGGGGCAATCTCTCAGAGAACGCCAAACCAGTACAGCCAACGAAGCTGTAATTTCCAACCATTTGGAAGTCATCGGGTTTGCGGAAGACTAACCAGAACGCCGCAGGGGCTCACCAGATGATATCCTGTTTGCTTTGAATACTTTAATGGTGCAGAGCAGCATGAAAGATACCAAGCGCATCTTTGCCACTGGGGACTCGTTTCGGAAGCGGCGCAGTCGTAGGCCCGCGAAGGCCCCGCGCACCTGGGGCGCCCGGGCGGCGAGAGTCAGCCTTCCAACAGCCGCTTGTGGAAGGACAGAGCTTAAGCTACGCTAAGGCGTGACTGTTACTCCAGGCAGGCAGGCAGGCAGGCAGGCGACGACGACGCCGTACAACTCTACGGGGCAGGGGCCAGGAGGAATCCCAGCCTGTCGACCGCTCCGTCCCCTCCCTACATTAAAACCAGTGAGCGCGTAATCCGCGACCCACGTGCTTCTATCTCTCTCCCCTCCGCCTCCTTCTCCTGCCTAGACGGCGCCCCCCGCTGCTTGGCTACGCTCCCCTCCCTCCTCCCCCCACAACTCCGCGCCGCACTGGCCCGGCTGTCTCCTTCCAATCCGCAGGATCTGGCCTTTCTCCCGCTCCCCTCCTTCCACCCGATCTCCAGGTCTAGCGCGTCCCCGGGGGCGAAGTGTGGGAAGTACGAGTTTCCGCTCCGATTGTCTGTCCCCGGCAGCCACCCCCGCCTGGCTCTGCAGGCTTCGAGAGCAGCCGCTCCGCACAAACAAGAGCGGGTCGCGGGGAGCCAGAGCCCATCGCGAGGGCGCGGCGGCGGCTGTAGGGGCAGGCGACGGAGCGCTCGGACAGGATCCGGAGCTGCGGAGCCGGGAGCCGTCGGCGCTGCGAGCGGGAAAGAGTGCG